AACTTGACAGAGGCAGAGTGATTAGAGGACAGCTCTTGCTATGGTGGCCATGTAGGCCATGTTGTGCTTAGGACCCCCTTGGTCTGTGTCTACTGACTGCCTCCCTCCGGTCACTAAATTGTCCTGGTTTGGATGATACATTTCCTGGTCACCCTAGTTACGACAAAGACGGGTTAAATAGTAGTGTAGAGTATGAGAACTGTCTCTGAAAATGTCAGTGGTAGTTGATGTGTTTGTAGAATCCAGAGCTTCTCATTAATAATCACAGGGAGAAAATTGCCTGCTTGACACTTGAGTTCCTAGCAATTCTTGAGTTTATCTACTGAGGTGCTTTCAAGTATTTAAGCAGTCATTTGTATCTGCATGTGTAAAAGTTAGATGACTCGGAATTCTTGTAGATTTACAATAAATGAGAGTTTATTTTCCATCAGTCATTTTAGAGAAGGTTTGCTAATGAGAATTCTTACAATTTAAAAACCTCTATGGAAATTTGATGATACATATTCAAGATAGACTTTTTTCAAAAATAATTTTTTACCACTTATTTACTCACTATTTTTCAGGAAATTGTCTCACGTTAAGATTTATTCCAGTTTTTTAAATATTTTATATTTTGAAGCTGCATTATATCATCACATAGTATAATGTGAATGCTGTAATTACATAATAGTCCCCCCTCGCTTCTGTCCAATCTTTCCCATGAACCACCACCCCTTGCTCTCTCTGAAATCCAAGGCCTCTATTTCGTAATTATTGCTCCATACAGATAGATGTGCATATTCCCAAATGTATATAAATATAGTCTACTCAGTCTGTATGAAGTTTCTTGTATGTATCTGGTTTCGGGGCTGACCGTGGGCATTGGCTAACTAATTTGGGGCCTCCTCCTTGAGGAAAACTATTTCCTCTGCTCTCAGCATTCCTTAGTTGCCTGTGGCAATAATTTTAAGCATACAATTATTGCTAGTAATTATTAGTAAAGAAAAATATCTGAAAAGAAAATATTTGAAATACTCAGAGAGCACAGCAAAAATCAATAGAGTAGACTCCTTTTCTGATACTGTCATTTTCTTTTTCATTTATAATTTCTGAAGGCTATTTTCTGTTATGTCTTGGTGTTTATTCTAGTTGGGTGGTTTTTTTTTTTTTGGTTTTTTGTGTGTGTGTGTGTGTGTGTGTGTGTGTGTGTGTGTGTGTGTGTGTGTTTCTTGCCTCAAGCCGGGTTTTCATTTTCATTAGCTAGTAATTCATGTTTATCATAATTGAAAGCAATATTAATATTTGGGGAAATTTAATTGAATCATAAAGCAGTTGTTTCCTTTGTCTCCTCTCCTGACCGTGCCTTTATATAATGCATTCAATACACAAAGCCCGTGGAAAGCTCACATTAGCAGTTGCAGCGCTCGCTAGAAAGATACTTCACAGAAGGTTGAGCAAGGGATTGAGAAGCCCTTAGGGCCTTCTGCGATAGAAAGACAAAAACCAGCCCGATACTTGATCACTTGCATTGCCCAGGCTCTTCAGTAAGCAGTTCAGAATACGTCTTTCAGGTGGCATGAACACACTTCAGGTTGATGGGTTTGGGTGTTTTTCCCCCCTGTTAATAATTAATAATTAAATGATGCAGTAACTCCATTGGGACCAAGAGATCACAGAACACAATTCCAAAGCGCTCTTGTAGCATATCTGTTTCTGTCAAAATCCGTTTCCTAAGCTGGAAGATGGCTCTGTGGTGAAGAGCCTGCTGCAGAAGACACTGGAGTCCAGCTCCCCAGATCCCAAGTGAATGCCAGGTTAACATAGCAGCCTGCCAATACTCCCAGTCTCGGAAGGCTGATAAGGGATCCCCAGAGAAAGCTGGCTAGTGAGACTCACCAGTATTGGCAAGCTCTGGGTTTGATTGAGAGACCTGCCTTCATGAATAAAGTGGAAGAGCGTTCCTATCAACCTTAGACCATCATATGCATGTGCACCTACATGCAAGTGTGCACCCACACATGCAAACAGCCCTACATAGATATGTGCATGCCATACACGCACATACAAATGGGGGGGGCAGAGACACATGTAATTTAAAGCTATTATACTGTATTCTTCTTCAGTGTTCTGTTTCCCCGTTACTACATATCAGCACTTAGCTGAGGTGGAGTGTGCTGCCAGTCTAGAGATGATAGGGTTACTCACAGTGCCAGACTTTTGTGTTCAGCTAGTCAGTGAGTGTACTGAAAGCCAAGGGGTGGGTTCTGTGCAGGATTGACTGAACAGGGTATTGAAGCCATCCTTTCACGGAGACTTATACATAAGTGGCCACTATAAGTGGCCCACCATAAATAACCTGCTATTCTTGCAGGTTAATAAGAATGGCAGTTATTTATCTATACATCTTTTTAAGGCAGAAATGTTTGCTTGTGTGAACAAGCCGAGGAAAAGGATGCCGAGAGGTCTTTCCTGCTTCACTGCCTAGGGTCATGTGCTGTCTAGAAGATGGTAAAGGGGGGAGAAAGCTGGGGAGGGGGAGTCTGGTAGTCTGAGATCTGCTTTACTTTGGCAGACATTTGAACCTCTTCATCCTTTGTGAAGCAATTGTATACAAGTCTCCCTGGTGTGATTTTTGAAAAGTCTAACTTAAAATCACAGGAGACCTGTCTGATGGCTGTGGACAACACTCCATTTTAACACTCTGAATTTCCAAACAGACTCTGAGCCTGCTTCCCACTGAGGAAAGGAAACTGAAGTGATACTTGGACCCACGGAGTCTGAAAGAGCCTAGAATCCGTGTGACCTCATGGCATGTGGAGGGAGATAAAGTTTAGACCACACTTTAGACCCTGGGTACATCTCTGAGAGGCACTACCTTAGTTTATCTGTCCATGAGGACAAGTCCACACCTTCCATCATGCCAGTCCAGTGGGGGAAGAGGAGCATTTGTGGACCACTGGAGGAAACAGGCAACCGTGTCGAGGAAGAAGAGCAGCGGGCCGGCCATAGCAGGGGGCTGGTGTGGCTCGCTGCTCTGTCCTGCCGCCTTACCAGGTATGGAGGTCACCGTTCTGGTAGCACACTTGGAAGGTGCTTTTACATTAGCCCGGTTAGAAGAAAACAAGTTACAGTTTCATTAGCATACTGTAACTTTCTAGAAATAACGAACTAGTGCACAAAGTCATTGACAAAAGCCCTGACTCCCACTGCTTTGTCCCTGTCTGCTTGGGAGGTGTAGGCTTCTCATTGTTGCCTCTGTTCTTTCATTCAATAAAGAACAAATTACACCCAGAGTGGGGTATCTCACAATAAAAGTGGTTTTGCTTCTTGTGAGGACCACTGAGAAAGGGAAAAGAAATTTTCATTTTGAAACCATATTCTGCAAGTAATACAAAAAGGGACATGGAAACAGAGAAAATATACAGGGAGATGGATTCAAAACATAATATAAAAGGATTCCCTATGATTATGGTGAAGTTTTTATACATATATGGATGCTGGTATATACGTATACATAGACACAATGTATAGCCATGGGTGGGTTTTTTCTTGGGGGGAGGTGGAGGGAATGAGCCAATCTGGAGCTGAGATATTTTATCTTGTATTAAGTAGTTGATAATTAGAAAGTCTCTAAGGTCTCATTTAACCTTATTTATAGAACTGCTTCTACATCAGTCATTGTGAGCCAATGGGAGTCGAACAAAGCGTTTCTCTAACTAGAAAACTGAAAGAGATACATGCTTCGAGCGTTAGTGTGTAACATTCTCAGATGTGGAGTAGAAAGGAAACCTTAGAAGAAGAAATAAAATTGCTGTTTATTGAACACTACCACATTCTGGATAGTAAAAGGACGGAAACAGCAGTCACTGGTAAAATGGGGAGGAAAGCATGGTTAAAGTATCTGCTGCCAGGCATTTGGCTTAAATTTCACGTACGCATTGTCTCCTGTGGTGATGTGAAATGAAGACTTATCACAATCCCCATCTGACAGAGAATTCTGAGCCATAAGAGGGTTTGCTTCTCTTGCCTAAGTTCTCTGGAGGTGTGGGACATACCTTCCTACATAGTGGTCTCGCTTTGGGGTCTGTAGCCCCCTAAGTCTTTGTAACCTTTAAAATGAGCATCATCTGATATCTGTAACAACTGCCCCATCATAAGGCATGCCAGTAGAGATCAGAGAAGTTAGGCATCTCCAAGGTTGCACATATACACAAAGGAGCCTTTAAACCCTTTAAACATACGCTTCTCACTAAAGTATGCTCAAATTTCCCTGTGTAATTCTTGTCTTTGTGATGACAGTTTAATGAGCACTGAGCTGAATATCTACCTATAATTAGACTTTTCCCGCAAAAAGAAAATCAGGAGATCAACTGTAGGCCCAGACTGGTGATGAGCAATCACATCACAGTGGCATGTCCCTTCTCAGTTTGGCCTGCAGACCAGCTTTCCCTGAGGCAGTTCTCCTCACCAGAGTGGACAGTTTCACCAGTCTACTTATCTTCTAGTGACTGCAGTGACCTGGCTGAGTCTCATTGACATCCCTTCTTTTGGCCATGGTGCCAGTCAGATGTAGTAAAACCGTTGCTTATGTCTAAACTCCAAGACTCTCTAGTAAGATGTATCTCTCTCCAAAGGGTAAGGAAAAGATGTGGATCAAATTCACCTGCTTCCCAAAGGGCCCAGTCAGGAGAGGTGATGGTGTCCTTTCCTGGACTCCTTTGTTCTCTATTCCCCATGTTTTTGTTCTCCTTTCCCTATGGGATACATCTGTGGTTTATATGTGATGGGAGAACGATCCGGAAGGTGGATCATGCAATCTCTGGCTTTCTGCTGATACAGATAGAAACTGAGTCATAGGCCAGAGCTATGCCTGTATTATTCCATATTGCTATTAGGTAGCTATAGTGATGATTTTTATCTCCTTCTGGTGTTGACATTGAGATGATAACTAACAAGTAACCAGGATTTAAAGTCAAAGATGCCATCGCTTCCTTAATTCTCCCTATGGCACTTGGGTGTGATCATTACACATAAAATTGTCCAGGATGACAGACATCGGTTTGAAAAATTAAGACCATGATGTGAAAAATACCAGAGGCTGGAGGTGTAGGGTCTCGCAAACATCGATTTCTGAAATCCTAAGATGAAGGCTAATGCATGAGTATCAGGAGGGCTGTCCTGAGTTTGTTGTCACTGTCTCTTGGTGACATTCTTCCTTGTGTGGTATAGTCCTCAAGCTTGGCCCTGCTGTGCCTTGGCATTATTTTTTTTCCAGATTCATCATTGCTAATAGCATATGAGGAACAGTGTCCATGCAGAAGACACGGTATTATACACACTTGAGGGTCGTAAAGGCAAGTCTTCAGTCACTAGGCAAGCTGACCTCGGGGCTGTCAAACCAATTTTCCTAGCCCAGTATGTCTGCTCAGAGGATCACTGGGCTGTGACAGGTGATGAATGAGTGGCTTCTATGGCCCTGGGCTCCTTCCCAGGAGAAAGACTAAGTTGGAAAATGGTTTTAGCTATTATGGTGGGTAAGTGTGACAGAAGTCAGATACTGTCTCCTACACCCCTGCTGGCATGGAGTGTGTGTAGAGGACTAGGTCACGACTGGTAGGATGTTCGATGTGGAGATAAGAGAAACAAACCTTTCCATTCACTCCCCTGTTTGCAATGAAAATCTGCCCCAGCAGAGCAGGACATCTGTGTACCGTGTGTTTGGATGCTGCAGAGCAAACCTTACCTTTCTTATGGAAGTTAGAGACAGCCATTGGCAGAATCTCACCTCAGGAGGTCGCAATTCATATCTACCTGTTCCTGCAGAACATGAGAGACTGATTCATCGTTTGGGAAACTCTATCAACGGGCTGAAGGCTGGCTCTGCTTCATAGATTTGGAAACAGGCTGGGCTTATGGGGAAAGAGAAGCTGGAAGTTTGTTAGTGCCCTTGATCTACTTTGGCGATGAAGACTTGAAAGAACCTTGGAGTTAGAGGAAGTCTGTTAGTCTTTTCTTCCTGTGCTTTTGGGGTGAGGGTCGTAGGCTGTGCCATCCATGTTCACAAGCACATGTCCTCATGTGGTGTGGACATGTGCTTGTTAAACTTATACTCAGAAACTTCAGCTCCTTGGGGGAGTTGGGGTTTGTTCCTCTTCTCCAAACATGAATAAGCTTCCATCTAACAGGATCTCTGCATGTAGCTTTGGTGAGGAGCCTTCACGGGCTCTTTGGAGCCTCTAAAAGTCTGAAGTCATATGCTAAGGATTACTAAAACACCCCCAATAAAGCATATATGTCAGCCATCTGTTTAATTTGTGGACATGAATATAAAAGACAAGATAGATATCTTTCACAGTTATTAATAGATATATAGATATATATAGATTATAGATATAGATATATACTTAATAGGGTAGGTTCATATTACCTAATACAGAGATAGTTACCTTATAAATCAACCTGGTTATATAATTCCAGGGAAGTTCTAGCATCATTATTCTCTTTTTTTTAAATGTGTTATGTTTATTCGTGTATTTAGTATGTTTTTACCAGCATATGATTGTGACATGCATGTGCCAGGGCACATGTATGGAGGGCAGAGGACAACTTAGAGGAGTCTCTTCTCCTATCATGTGGTTCCTAAGGATCAAACTCAGATCATCAGGCTTGGCGGCAAATGCCATTACCTGCTGAGTGGTCTTGTTAGTCCCATTCTCTTTTTGTATTCTTGCCTGTAAAGAGCCCGAGCAAATTGGAATCTTAACCTACTATGGTTATTTAATATGAAATACTTAGGGTAAATCCTGAATCTCAGAGAGGTCTTTCTTCTGCCAACAAGAATGGGGTGATGTGTTGGCTTATATTTCTTCGATTTTGAACTCCTTTGAAGATGCCTAAGGAAAAGCTAACTGAGATGGTCAGCCAGGTATAAAGGGATAAGGACTCGGGAGGAAAGTAAGAATGTATAAAATAATCGGCCACTTTCAAAAAGCCAAGTCCCCTTTTCTCTCAGCAAGAAAGAATTCATAGTTCCTCATCAAGTATTTACTGAAACATCTAAGCTTGAAACTTTTTTTGAAATAAATCCACGACTTCTGTGGCTGTGCTTCCGATAACTCACTTTCAGACAGATGTGGTGAGGGGAGGAGGGGAAGAGAGCTCCATCAATGAAGTGCATGCTTCGCCCGCATGAGAACGTCAGTTCAGTCCACAGCACCCGTGTAAAAAGGCCAGCACCGTGGCTCGAGGTTGTAATCACAGCATTGTAAAGATGGAGTCAGGCGAATTCCTGAAGCTCTGGCTGGTCAGCCTGGTCTGCCTGGGGAGTTCTAGATGAATGAAAGACTTTGTCTCGAAATGGATAAAGAAATAAATAAAATGTTGTTAATGGCTTCTGAGGAACAACCTGCCAAGTTTGCCTCTGGCCTCTACTCATTTGCCCATGCATGTGCACACCGCCCCCCACACACACACACACACACTCCTCTCCCCCCCCCCCACACACACACTGTGGTGATGCCAGAGTTTAGCATTATGAGTCCTAGTTTAAACTCAGACGGCATCTGTCACTTCTTTCCTTCTTCTGTCACTCACTAGATGGGGGACCTCAGCTGTGTGATTTAACTCCTTTAAGCCTTGTTTCTTCAGTACGAACACTAGGCCTTAGACGGAGTCACTCAAGAGCTATTGACTGAGTTCACACTATGCAGTGGCCATGTTGAAATGTCATGTTCTTACCGTACTCTCATACGTCATTTTTGTGAGGCACAAAAAATAGAAAACGCAGCCCCTATATTCAAGGAGCTGAAAGTTTAATAGGCTAAGCATCTGTAAAAACTAATACAAGATAAAAAGTATATCTGAAACCTGTAGAGTAATCTGTGTGAGATACATTCGAGGTACCAAAAGAAGAATAGGTAATTCCTTGAACTTAGCTGAGGGAGAGGAAATCTACAGAGGTGTTGAAAGGAAGATGCTGGAATCAGGGTTGGATCTGCTTTCTCCAGAGAAGGAATCAGCTGGGGGAGAGTCAGCACAAGGCTCCAGTACCTCCATGTGGTCCCTGTGGCTGTGATGTAAGCATGATCTGATGTATTCAAGGGCTGACTGGACACAGAGGAAAGCCTGTCTATGCCATAAGGAGATTGGATTTTATGAGAAGCCACGACAGTGTTCTGAGTAGTGGTTTTAACTGTTGTATATATGTATTCTAGAAACACCATCTGGCAAAGGCTTGGTGGTGGCAGTTAGAGGCAAGGATCCCTGTTAGAAGTCTGTCCCACGGGCCCAGGGGAAGGAGGGTGGAGGTGACAGAGCAGCAGTACAGTGTAAGGAAGGAACAAGTTGTCAGGGAAGTCATTCCTCCTGATTCACTGAACGAACAAGGCAGAAAAGAAAGGACAAGTCTCCAGCATTCCTTTCAACCTTCCTCTCTCATGAGCTTATTCTTCAAGGCCGCTAGGTCACATACTGAGACCTCCTTCTCATCAAAAATGCACTTAATGGAAATACAGTTTTAGGCCTTGAAAAAAATGGCTTATTCTTATGAATTCTAGTTTTTTTAAACTGTTGGGATCATTCTGTTTATAAAAGGAGGCCTATAAAGTGAGTTCAGAATGGTTCAGGCATTAATGTTAGCCCTTTGTTCTGAAGACATACGATAGACAAGTAAATAGGTACCACAGGTCGCTCTGAATCACATAGTCTACTGTGAAAGGCAAAAGCAATCTAGTGTGCTTGTATTCAGCAAGTGCATGAGGTAAGTTCATATAAATACCCAGGAGACTCAGAGGACCAGGCACAAGTATAGCTTGTGGGTAGTATCCACATTGAGCCAGCAGCCAGAACTCATGTTGATTTTTAGTTTTCACTTGGATGCCATCATTATCTACTCTGAGCATTATTATTTCAATATTTTGGCCAGATTTCTTAAAAAGTCTCTTTCCTAGATCTTGTCGCATTCCCTGCAGCCCACTGTGAGCTGGTGGCTGCCCGACACAGACCAATAAGCAACATCTGTGGCATCTTCCCGAATCCCAATTGCAGTGGACGTGTCTCTCTCCTCATCTTACTTGACCTTTGTGCTGTGTTTATGAAACTCACCCCGTTTGCCCTCTGTGACATCAGGATTACCCTGATTTTCCCTCCCCTCTGTCCACTTTGTCACTGTCAGATCCATGTGCTCCTCTTCCAAGCCTTACACTCCCCCAGGTCACTCCATCCACACGTATGGCTTCTATATATAGATGGCCTGAGTCATGCTGCTCTTTCAGAAACAAAAACCCAACTTACTGTGGGGCAGCTACACCTGACTGTCCCTCAGGCAACTCAGATTCAACTCACTCAAAAACTGAACTCCATCCTTCAGCCTTTGCCTTCTGTAACCAAAGTCTCTCACGTAATAGATGCTTTCGTTCCTCTGTAGACTTGTGTACCTATTTATACTTTCTTCACATTCTCACCTCCACACTCCACATGTGCTTGGCCATCTTCAGTCCACTAGATATGTTGCACTCATTATAAACTCAGTATATACACATGTTTAGGGACCTTAAAATTTGCATGTAAAACAGCTATACATATACAGTTCATCTGCTGATTTTCTTCAACTTTCAGGCCTCTGTGGAGGAGTTATCTCCTCAGGAATTGTGCCTATCCATAACCCCTGTTGTTAGTGGCTCATTTTTTGTACCATATACTCACTTGTCCCAGCTCTAATAAAATTAGAAGCAGAGAGCAAGAGATAAGAAGATGCTTTCTCCCTGGGACCTTAGACAGTATCTGAAGATACTTTGGTTTGCAACAAAATAATATTGAGATGATCTTGGTAGTAGATCATCTAGTAGTATAGTAGTACATCACCATGAGTAGGTAGAGGCTAGTGGTGCCAATAAATCCTCTACAGTGTATAGCCCACCAAAACATTGAATTATCTGGGTCACAATCTCTCTAATGCTGGGGATAAGAGACCTTACTCTGCTGTGATTGCCTATTTTTTCTGGGTTTTTTTTTTCCCCACCAAGTCTGGTGAAAGTCTAGTGTAAGCTTCGGTATGGGACTATGGCCTGTCCTGTGGAGGGCTGTTTGATGTATAATAGATGCTCTGTAAAAATGAATGTGTAACTGAGAAGATAGAGGGATATGTGGGTTGATGTATGGGTTGATGGCTTCCCACTCCAGCCAATAGAGCAAGCCTGTAGTTACATGGGGCCAAGAGCAATATGTCCTGAGGTTTCACTGCTAAAGAGTTATTGATGCCAGTTCTAAAGTTTGAGAGGCTTATCATGAAGAGAAATGAGAAAACTCGAACAGAGAATATACATCTTTTCATTTTGCTGTGTATCTGAATGTATATCGTGTCTAATTTGGTTTTGACATATTTTCCTTTGTTTTAGAGTATCAACTTCTCTATCAGTACTGATTGCTAGTATCTCACATAGGTATATCTATTAGATGCAAGACATTTTAGCATGTTGCTGTAAGAATAGAACCTGGGTATGGTGATGCATACCTTTAAATCCAACAGTTAGGAAGTATGGGTTTCTGCAGTCAGACAAGACAGGATTCATTCAGGATGGAATGGCCATAGACCAAATCACGATCTTTGAAAGTTTGGATGCCTCTCACTACTTCCCTATGCCAAGCAGCAGCCTGGAGGACACTGTGATGGAGGCCATATGCTCTCTCTCTCTCTCTGAAGTTCCATCCAGGAAGCATTGCAGATACCATAGCATATTCATGAGTAAATTTTACAAGATCTAGCATCCTAGAATACAAACAATACCTCATTGTAGTGATTAGAGAATTCATTTTGTGGTTCTATAGCCAATATTATTTTATTATTTTAAGTATGTAGATATATACATATATATGTATATGCTCCTTAATGTACATTCCTAAATAAATTGAGTGTATTTTAATGTAGAGCTACAGAAATGGAGGTTATTAGTGCTCATACTCAAAAAATGTATTCAGTTTTAAAACTGACTGGTAGGGGCAGTAAATTCGTCATATGAATTTCAGTTCATATTCCAACAACACAGAGAGCACATGCAATGCCCAAATCTGGATCTCTAAACATACTCTCCAGCAAATGGAATCAGGCATCCTTGGAGAACAAGGTTGACATCACCAGTGATGAGTCATTTTGTTATCATGTATCCCTTTTCTATCAGGTTATGGAAAGGACACTTGACCCCTCTGCTCTTCTTTTAAAATGTCACAACTCCAATCCTACCGTGAGAAAGTATCTCACAAATCTAAACTGAGGAACATTTATAAAATACCAGAGCAATACTTTTCAGGCTTTTTAAGACCATGGTTTAAAACGTGAACAACTGAAAACTGCCCAAAGTAGAAAAAAATTAAAGAAGCAAAATGAATAATACTAGGCAGGAATGGTACAATGGACTGAGGATAGCAAGGCCTGAGTCAAGGCTGTGATTCAGTTAATAGGAATTGCTGATATTAATTTCTTTTTTTTAATTTAGCCAACCCACATCATAAGCATTTGTCAAAACACTATGTTCTATCGAGTGTGTCCAACTTGTAGCTTTTGGCTGTGTGCAGCCACATGTGGCTCAGGAGAGCTATGAAAGAAGGCCAGCATAAAATTACTTTAAACATTAGAGTAATGTGTGTGTGTGTGTGTGTGTGTGTGTGTGTGTGTGTGTGTGTGTTGTGGGATGTCTTTCTGTATGCTGTGAATATGTGTTGCTATAATTGGTTAAGAAAGAAGCTGCTATGGTCTATGGTGAGTCATGTTATAGCCAGGCAGGAAATCCAAGACAGAAACAGGAAGAAGAAAGGAGAGTAGGGGAGAGATGCCAGCCTACCGTCCAAGGAGCAGCATGTAATGGGACACAGGTAATGCCACGGCCATGTGGCAACATACAAATTAATAGAAATAGGCTGAGGTAAGTTATAAGAGCTAGCTAATAAGAAGCCTGACCCATAGGCCATACAGTTTGTAAGTAATATAATATAAGCCTCTATGTATTTACTTGGGACCAAGCTGCTGTGGGACATAGTTGGGAGAGATTAGTCCTGACTGTGTGGCCAGGCAGGACCAAAAAAACTTCTGGCTACGTGTGTGTGTGTGTGTGTGTGTGTGTGTGTGTGTGTGTGTGTTGTGGGATGTCTTTCTGTATGCTGTGAATATGTGTTGCTATAATTGGTTAAGAAAGAAGCTGCTATGG